TAACGCAGCTCTCGTTCCCTCTCAGGGAACAAGGAATACGTAACCTGAGACGGTTTGTTTAGCCTACGTGGTCACGAGAAATGGTTATTTCCTCAACATCGGATCTCAAGGCCAAGACTTCACATTGTATGGCCAAAACATAAGGATGTCATTACCTCGACAAGATGTTCTCGTGGTCATGACATATTATCACATCCCCACAACTAGCTATGTCGTGGCCACGACAAAACTAAAACCAAACATGTCGCCTCTCAGTCACTGTAGGCTATGCTTTAGACATAAATGTGACTACTTAATGACTACAATGCTTATTTCTCGGTAGGCTATAAATGGAATAATAATTTATTTATTCCTATCAATATCTTCCTATCAAAAACAAAACAACAACAAAAAAAGATCTCTTCATCTGGTTTGTTTTTGAAGGTATTTATAAATGTTCATTGAGAATCAAACAAAGCTCCAGGAAGGGAAAATCCTCACATACAGTTTTTAAATGCATACAAAAGTAAGAAATATAACGGTGAGTGACTGAGAGTGAGAAATTGAATGAGATGCATTGAGGCATTGAAGAGCACATACAGCAATGCGACTGGAGAAAAGGTGATGAAATGAAAGAGGGGTATTGAAGCCACTTCATATCAGATTTCTGTCGGGATTATGAAGGTTCTTCAGCACATCTTCAACCTATACAGGTGTACACTGCAGGTCAGCTTTGTTCTCTCAGCTTTGATGTTATCTGCTTTTACAGACTCATGCTGAGAAAAATACGGTCTTCAGTGATGCTGCTGTGATGATGACAAAGCATTTTCATCTGCTCTTTTTGAAAAAAACCCATATGCTTCATATGCTGATTACAAGGGACCAGGTGTAATGCGACAAGCTCTGGGACAAGACCTCTTCCATGTCAATCCCAATTTTTCAACAATCAACATACAATATATTAAACATCAAACATGGATTAGAGATTGATTAGAAACATTAGGTATTTACAAAATGCTGCTATAATCTATAAAAATCATGTATATTGCTGAAAACAGGCCACCGTATAGCCAATAGACTTTGAGGGGACAAGTCCTCCCCAAAAATCATATATGGCTAAATTGCCCCCACCAATATTGGATATTATTGATGTTGCTGTCCTGCACTCCATTACACACAACTCTCATAGTTGTTAGGATCCCCAAAAAATTCTGCTCCTTCAAAATGATAGTGATGGTCAATCAAATCAAAGATGGTGGGCTCTTCACAGATGCTGAACACTTTAGTTTTCACAGTAAAAGAGCATGAGGTAAGAAGTAGCTATACATTTAATATTTAAATGTTTTACGATAGAAATTCACTAGATTCACTAGAGGTCCTTGTTCTCACAGTGTCATTTACATTATACTATATTTCCCAGCATTCTGTTCTGCCACTCATCTGATCATTGCAAACAGATGTTTCCCGCTACCTTTAGTTCTGTGTGTGTATACAGTGTATATACCCTGTCAGTTATAGTGTTTGTCACAGAGTAATTGCTTAATATCCCAACCCTTTGGATCTCGTTTTGTGTTTCTTGGTCTGTATGTTCTTGTCTTTTGGATTGCTTGCATGGTATTTGACCCCTGCCGGGAACCAGGACTGATCGCAAGTAATACTTCAGTCCCACTTTATATTAAGTGGCTTTAATTACTATGTACTTATGTTGAAAAATAAGTACAATGTACTTATTGTGCTAAATTAATGCTGTATTGTAAAACACTTTTGCTGCTATTGAGGTGGGATACGGGTAGGGTAAGGGACAGGTGTGGTGGTATGGGTAGGTTTAGGGGTGGGTTTAAGTATAAGTATGGGTCAGCTTTGTAATTACAGATGTAATTACATAAATTAGTTACAGCTGTAAATACATGCTGGTATTTTTTAAAATATAAGTACAATGTGAAACATGTATGTACACAATAAGTCCATTGTATCAAATTATTTGTTTCAATGTAAGTACATAGTACTTAAAACCACTTAATATAAAGTGGGACCGTGAAATTTGTCTCCCCTCCAATGTTCGAGATATGGAGATACAGCCTTGGTTGGAATCGTATCTTCTTGGTATCTCATATGTCAATTAAGTAGTCAACCTCTAGCATTGCAGTCCCAGCATCCAAACAAGTCTGCTATAAGAAAAGCATTGTCAAAATGAGTAGTATGTCCAAAGTCAACATGGCTGATTTCATTCAGATTGTATTCATACTATACAGAACCTAATTTTACCAATTACGATATGTTCCTGGATCAACATCTTTGTTCACCCTGGAACAACGCTCCAATTAACCAATCAGATTTGAGGGACAAGTTTACAGTTTGTCAATTTTAGACTTAAAACCAGGCTTAGGTGCTTCTACACCAGTGTTATTCACCTATCATTTCCCTCTGATTTTAGGGAGATGTTATGGGTAGGTTTAGGGGTAAGGATATGGTTAGGAATACATTTACACACAGGAATGTTGTTCCAGGATCAACAAAATTCTATAATTCCCATACCACACACATGCATGTGTTACTTAATTAAGATGAAGTCATCAAATGCAGCACATATTCTGGTTTCCAACAAAAATATTGCATTACCGGTAGCTTTGGGTGCTGATCTATGGTCAGGTCTAATGTCTTGGTTGAGGTTGCTATATGATTATAGGTTGCAGAGTTTCTAGACGATGTCTAGCCACTTCTGGAAATGGTTGATCGGCATGTAACAGTGTCTAAACAACAGTCATGTTTACATTAGGCAATCATACAATAATGTGAGAATGGAGCACTTAAGAAGCTTTTAACTTAACCCCCCCCCCCCCCCCCCCCCTCAAATAGACACACATACACTCTTTGCACTCAGAGCAGGTCATAAAAATCACCTATAAGAGGATCCCTAGAGCTAATGCACTTACATAAACTGACTGAAACATACAGATAGCCAGCCATGTGTAGAAATTACGTCTGCTAAAACATCAAGAGCATTTCCTTGGTTCTCAGGTTGCAGCCAATGAAAAAGTATATAGACACAATATATGTCCCAATAAATCATGCTCTGATCATAATTCAGACAGAGTATGTGTATAATCTGTATGTGTAGCTACTACACTGTGTATGTTTGCACAGTATAATTGTATATTAATGTGACGATGGTGGTAAATACTGATATTTTCCCCTCATACACTATTAAACTTTTAAGCAAAACACACACTTGCAAGTGTAAATGTAAAATGATGCAAACACTGGCATGAAAACCATAACAGAATCAATTAGCAGTATAACATAATAATTGATATAACCGAATAACACTGTCAGACAGATAAATACACGCACCAACCAATGATTCCAACCAAAAATAGACTTCGCACACATTCTGGAATAATTAATATAATTAAGCACAGCAATCATTAGCGAAAAAGAGAGATACAGTACAAGCATGTTTCATATTAACCTCAGCCTGTTTTAATAAGAGTAATGCGGCAAAGCAAAACAAACAGTAAGAAACAAAATAAAACCAAAACAATCATATGGAAAAATGAAGACAGGCAACATAAAAGTAAATGTGACTTGCATGCATTCATTTTTTTTTTTATAATAAACTGGATATTTCTTGTTTAAAATTTACAACGGGCAACGTTGTAACATTGCAAATTACAATGGGCATTGTGCAATCAGATGGTCATTACAGCAAAATAAACCCCAACAGAGAGAAGAGGGATGCAATGTGAAATATATTACTTATTTAAATCAACAGACAATATGAAATATTGATTTGTTTAAATTATTTTATTATGTGAGAAGAAAGAGAGTGTGGAGAGTCCAGGATCAACCTTTCTATGTTTATTTTTGTGGTAATGACTTTCTGAATAATTATGTAAATTATAAAAAAAAAAACATGGACATGAAATATTGATTTGAGATGACAATTGGATATATATATATATATATATATATATATATATATATATATATATATAATATGTTACTGCCTTGTAGAAACTGTGAAGAAATATTATAGTAATCATATTGCCCTGGAAAGAAATTTTAGGATGAGTGACTAACCAAACCAAGTAGGCTATTACAGAGCACAATACAGTTAGTACTCTTATGTAAGAGGCAATTATGAAATTATGCTAAATTTTTATTTTTAACACGAAAAAAATTTTTTAAAAAAAATTCTAGGATTCATAACCTAATTTAAAATAAAAAATAAAATAAAGTTTTGGGATTTTGAAAAATGTAAAACAACAATAACAAAAAAATTATCCAAAGACTAAGATATTCTGAGATTGATGTGTGTTTTGTTTCAAAAATTTCAAAACGCCAAAGTTATTATGCTGATAACATAATTTGTAATAACAATAAATGCATTTTCATTTGTGGTCTCAGGCACTTGGAAGCCACAGTAGCTTTAGATACTTAAGAACAACGGCACATGCAGTAACAAATGACCTTCTCTCTCCTTTTCTCACACACATTTACATTCTCCATCTGCTACGCATGATAATGCATGTGGTTTTGTGACATGGTCCTATCTGACACAAGGTCACCCATTTCCCGTGTCGCATAGGAAGTAACATCTAGTGTGGTATTAAGCCACTTCCTCCATGCAACAATATCTAGGAGAGACAGACACCTCTGAAAAGTACTCAGTACAACACATGTACTGTATTTGACCAGTTGAAACATTGAATAATATAAACAATGCTTGTGGCTATTTAACCTATTGCATAGCTCCTGCTAGGGTGAGATTATGTTTATTTGAATTTCCCCTCAAGAACAATTTAATTCCAAAGATGTACAAATTTCATTTGATGCAACAGACCGAACCACAGATGTACAGTATGACACAGATATTATAAGAAATCAAGGAGCAACACGAATGTTCTGCATTCACAGCAGTGCACAGGCAAAGACAAATAGATTAGAAGGAAGAAGGAGGAGGAGGAGGAGGAGGTGGTATGTACATATATACAGAAGAGCTAAAATATGACAGTCCTCACCAGTTCAACTGATCCATAGTGTTTCCGGCTGAACTCTCCTCTCCTGCATCCAAGATCCTCTGATGCTGAGCTGCAAAAACAGAGCATATAACAATTCAAACTGATTTTATATTGTTTAATCGCGCACAAAAAAATATTTTCATTCTCTTGGAAATAAATGTTGAATGTTTGTGTGTTGTTTGTCATTGTAAATGTGATTTCTTACGGAGAAATTCTTTGCTATTTTACTTATCGTATGTGAACATACAGAGGACACAGATGCAGCTTAAAGGCAAAAAGTCAGTTAGACCAGATAGTCAAATTGGTCTGGCCGTTGTGAGTCAAAACCAGAAGTGGCATCTCTATATACCAAAGAGTTACAAAGGACGGCCTTCTTAATTTTAAATGATGACTCTCACCACCTGCACAATGAGTTTCAATTATTACCATCTGCGAGGAGGTATAAAGTCCCAAGGTGTAGAACGAAAAGATATAAAAGCAGCTTCGTACCAAATGCGATTAATATGCTTAACAAATTGTAGAGGTGGTTTTCAGATATGTTGTACAAGGGGTCGTATGATTTTATGATGTTACAAAGATCATATGAAATGTTTTGAGAGGACTTTCTTGAGAGCACGTCACTAAGTTATTATGTGTCCTTGTGTGTCGTGTAGTGTCCTGTGTTGTGTGTTTTTGTACTGGATGCCATAGAATGTCATTGCACTCTGAAAGAAATTCACCTACGGGTATAATAAAAGTAACCTAACCTAACAGCATTTAGTTTCAATACCAGCAACCTGCATTCCAAAAAGTAGAAGCCCAACCTACTCCACCTCGCAACCCTGTGATGTCGCAGTCTGACTGATTTTGAGTGAGGTTGTTTCAGATTATTAGAACGAGAACCAGTGACTCAGCTGATGACTAGACATCACACATCTTCCCAAAACCTTAAAGAGGATCTCTCTCATTGAAAACCACTTCACAGGAAGACCATAAAGGCACTAAAGGTGTGTAATTTCTGTTCCACTACCATCACCAAATAAAATAGCACAAATAGTAATGTTTTCAAATAGGTTTCGCAAATTTTCCCTGCCAATATGGCCCAATAGCAGAACAATCTCTTGCCTTCTCAAATCATTGAGGTGCCTTTACACAATACATGTTTATAAGCCATTGTTTTTCAACAAAAGTGTGTGCATTGCATTTATAAACCTGTATAAACAATTATATGAAATAGCCCTGTGCCACACAAGCTCTGTTCTCCATTGTCTGGACAATCACATAGTCCGATCCCACCTGAAAACGTATACCATGGGTTAAGCCAGTGTTGGTATGTCAGGTTGAGATGCTCAAAAAATAGCAGGTGTTTACTCTTCAGAGGCATCAACCAACAAATGTCATACTTATAAATGTCTCTGTATATTAAACAGATATGAAAATGTATTTTAAAAAATACAAATCATAATTTCAATGATTATAACACCAATAATTGTGCTGTTTTAGCAAACTACTTGTGATTCTGGCAAACCGATATGCAGTACTCCTCAAATTATTTTCTTTTTCATAATACGTGCTTTATAGAAGACAGCATCTCCTCTGAATAAGGTTTAAATAATGTACAGTACTGTATATGCTGAGCCACTTGAATGCTTACATTTATTATAGTCATTTCACTTCAAGTGCAATGCAAATAGTGCATGTGAGCAAACACATTTCCTCTGTGTGAGGGCTATCATTATGTTTCCATTAGCGCAGAATGTAGCTAAGAATGTCTTAACGGACAACAGAAGAGATACTGCTCATGCTGTGATAAGATATAACCAGGTGGGATCTGCAGACATGGTTTGCATTTTTGAGCTGGATTTAAATATGGAAAAATGTGTTTAACAACTCTTATTTGTAGATAAAATTGTCCAAAATATTATAAATAATAATAAATGAAATCCTGAATTCTGCAGATCCAGTGCGGTCATGGTTATACACAATGTTGAAATTGCAAGTGCACATGCATTCTTTATGTGGCTTCAGAAGAAGTTTAAACATTGATGCCTCATACCTGTGCTATGCACAATGGCTCTCAGTTGGGGTAAGGAAGATGGTTAATTGAAAGAGGGGGGTTAAAATGAAATGAGATAAAAGGTCGACTTCAGAAATGGCCGCATAATCCTGTCAGACTGACCCACTGTTGAATTACAGTCAGTTACTAGAAGCATGTCTTTGACTAAGAGCATTTAAAGACAAATGCAAAAGTGATTCTAGAGAACAAGAAAGGAGTGGCTCATCACTAGATGATTTACTGTGGCACGGGGCTGAAGGAAAGATGCTTTACTATATTCAGAAATACTACCCTGGATAAGAATACAGTTGACAGCTGAGAATATAAAGACATCTAAGCTGCAGAACGTCCAATTGTTTCATTCATATCTTCAAACAAACCTTTCATTGTCGCTCATGATTAAATGGTTCTTTTGATAAAAAGAATAATCTGAAAGATGTCACAAAAATGAGATTATTTTTACGAAAAAAATCCTAAATGGTAGTGACCGTGTTTGAGATTATGATATGATAATGATGACAGCAACAGCATGACATAATTAGCAGCCATTACCCTCTGGTGATACTTAGAAACCAAATACGGTCAAGTTTGTTAACAGTAATCACTCCTGTTATGCATCTGCAATTAGTAATTTAGTCATAATGTTTTGGCATGATATCATGTTTCCAATGATGCACAGCTCAAAGCCTCAGATATTTTCAGACCATGCATCTCTGATGTATTGCCATGATGACCAAAGAAAAGGTTACAAGTGATGCTGACACAGACAGTCTGATGATGAACATCTGACATCAGGGACGTGCACAGGAATTTTGAGGGGCAGTTGCTCTGACCTGAACCCCCCCCCCCCCCCACTCACGGGCTATATGAAGGAATATATTCAGTTGAATTTGTCCCCTTCCAAATTGCCTTATCTGGCCGTGTTTATGTCCAAACGCAATGCCTCATCTTATGGTCTTATAATTATTTATAAAGATTGCAAAATGTCAGAGATGAGACAAATGAGCAAAAGAGTTTTTAAATTATTATTTATTTATCTATTTATTTATTTGAAAAGAAATAATCTGGATTGAATGGAAAAAACTCGAAAAAATAAAAAACGCTTAGATTTCGGGAAAAAATACAATTCTTTTTTTTGCCAATCCTGACCTCCCCCTGGGGCCCTAAGCAAAATTCTGCTAAGGGGCCCTCTACCTGATCTGTGATGCCGTGAGCCATGTAAACCATTTGCCATTGCCACTCAATACCGCCCAATACAATCCTCCCTCCTTTAAACAAAACAGTCAAAGAATAAGTACAACAATATAGAACAGAATGAGGTTCAAACAAACAATATTTACTGAATAAAGCATTTTTATAGAATGTTAAGATAACAAGTGAATATTAACGTAAACATAAACAAGAAGAAAATAATAAAGTACAACCCTGAACTTTGGCTTTTGGGATTAACTTTGGTTCTCTCTACAGCCAGGGTATTTTCGGAATCAGTAGCCTATGATTTTTATTTATTTATTTATTTATTTTTATGCATGTTAAAGCAAATCTTGATTTATGGTTATTTACTGAGGGATTTGCATTCATATTGACCAGAATGTCCATCTAATCATCATTTTAAATTCAATATAGCCTATAAATCAATAGTCAATCAATGTCAAATTGCCAATACATTGGTTTATATATTGCATAATTAGTGCAGTTGTTTAGAGTTTTTAACTACACTGAGACTAGATAATCAGTGTCTTTATAATGTGTACTTTGATTGGGAGTGCCATCATTCAAGTATTGTACAGTATTTCTCTGGTCTCCACATTTCTGCTTGAAAAATGCGAGTTTCATTTCGTGCACGCGCATATGAACGCAACACACGCGACGCGGTTATGTTTTTCGAGCTGCAGTAAACAAACACTGTTGTTGCACTTTGTCGTTTATCAAAAACAAAACGTAATAAATAATGGTATTTTACTCTCACTTTTGTCAGGCAAAAAGTGATGCAAGAGATGCATTGCCTGCCCAGACAAACCATCAAACTTTGCTGACACTAGAGAGGACAGAACACAAGTTTACCTGACTGCTGTTCCCGCAATTCTCTCTCATGTTTTTCTTCTTCCTCTTTTCGTGACGAGAAGGATAGTTTCGCTTCATTTTGTCATGGACTTCGTACATATTAATTAGCGCGCGACACGAGATGGAGGCGCAGCCTGAGTAATTTGCGGTGCCTTACCATACGGTCGCGTGCAGTCTAGGTCTCGTGGAAACAGTTTGACTTTCAAATTTTTTTTTTGGAAGTGAATGAGGCTTTGCGATTTTTATATTACTTTTTGTCGAGGCCTACGTGAAATTCTACATCCATTGTACGATTTTTTTTTTTCCTCAGAAGGGCAACCTGAGTCGAGAAGGGCATATGGGCAGTTGCCCGGGCAACCTGAGCAACCCCCCTGTGCACGTCCCTGTCTGACATCACAATCATTAAGAATAAAATTGCACTCTGAGGTCCGACTTTCTTATTATGCGCCAAGCCAATACTGCTAAAAAGTAATGGCACTTTTAAAACAGATTAATAAACTGAAGCCACCAATTACTGCAACAAGTTGTACTTTGGAGAACATGTGATAAATCTGTATAACAGATAAACATTACTCCTTACTGGAGAGAAAGAAATAATGTGAGACAAAGTCACTTATTTTAATTGAAAGATGAACACAATTTAAAGGGTTGGTGATAATTCAGTAACAGGCTAGCTGAAATATGAGTCTGTATATTAATTATATTGTGAGTTTAAAGAGCGTTGACACATGTCATTCTGTGCTGAGTGTTAGGCCTATGTTTGTTGTTTTGTAAAAATAAAATAATGCTGTTACTGTAAAGATGTGTGATACACTTCTTCTGCATTTATAGTTGGGACATGACAACAGATGGAGTTATGTTTTTTTTTTTTTTACCTGTACCCATTTGCGGTTACATTAGTAATCATCATGTAAATAATTGCAGAGTGACATTCGCCTCAAATTACCTCAGATTTGATGATTCAGGAAAAC